TATATATATATATATATGAAGAATTTTAGAAGAATTTTAGAATCATATATTTCTAAAGTGTCCCAATTTGAACAAAAAAAAATTTGAGAAATATTCTAAAAGATTATAAAATTATATATTATAAATTGTGAAAAATGTAATTTGTATAAAATGTTGAAAAGTTCAATGACAAATTCTGAAAAAAATTTTCAGTTTCTTAATTATCAAGAACATGAAGTCCTGTTCTTTTTGGCTGAACTTTTGCACCAGTTCATTTCATTTTTTTCCTTTTCTCTCCAAGAAGAAAGAAAAAAAAGAAAGATGAACTAGTGCAAAAGTTAGCCAAAAAGAACAAGCTCTTAGTTAGATGACATGAAAGAATGCTGCATCTTTTTGGGGGTCGACTGGGTCGGACTCCGCATGTGTATAAAAAAAAATTGAGAAAATAGACAGCAAGAAGAGAATAGAAAAGGGTGAACTCTATAAATAGAAGAAGTAGAAAGACAAGTGTAGAAAAAGGAAGGCTAAGTAGAAAGATAGAATTTTTTTTTTATAGAAAACAGAGATTGGGCAGGAAGAGATTATGGCGTCGAAAGAAGCGGGAAACAGAGATATCACACGAAAAATAGATCAGTTGATGTAGAATAATAAACAAAAGAAATTAATTATGCAGGAAAGAAACACTAATAAAAAAAATAGTAATAAAAAATAATAGGTAAAAATGAGGGATAATGAGGCTAGCGATGAACTCGAAAAATTCAGAAAGGATTTAATCGAACAAGTTAACAAAAAAATGATAGTATTAAGAAAGGAACTGAAAGTATATAAAGAGTACGTAAGAATTAAAGACAGATTATGGAAAGATAGGATAAAAGAGATGGAAGTAAGAGAATAATTAAATAAAAAAATAGAAGAAAAAGTAAAAGAACTAGGAAGATGGGAAGAAGAAAAATTAGAAAATTTGGAAAAAAATAGACACTTATGTAATAAGTAAAGAAGAGAAAGATTCGAGTGTAAGTGATGAAAATATAGTGAGCGAATATAGTAAGAGCGAAAGTAATTATAGTAGAGGAGTGAATAATGATGCACAATCCATACCGCAATATAGTGAGGATAAATTGAGTAACTGGGAAGTAAATAAATTTAAAAAGTTGCTTGCAGATGTGGAGGAAAGTAAAATGAGAAAATGTAATAAAAGGGATATTATTTTCTAAAGACATAGTGAAAAACATAATTGGCAGGGTAAAATGGTACAGGCATTTATAAAAGAAAACTTAGAAATAAAATAAAGTGATAAGTAGTAGGAGTAGTGGATCAGTAATAATAGCAAGAATTGAAAGCGTAGAGTTAAAAGAAATAATGCAAAAGAATAAAAATACAAGTTAAAAAGACATAATATTTTTATTGACATGACATAAGTTGGGAGGAAAGGGAAATTCAGAGAAAGATCTTTAGGTGGGCAATAGAACAGAGAAATAAAGGGGAGAACGTAATAATGGGAATAGGAAAAGTAAAAGTTGGAGGAGTGTGGAAATTATGGGCAGAAATAGAGGAGAAGGAGAATAAGAAAAACAATAAAGAGGAAGAAATGGAAGTAAGTAAAGGAAAAGAACAAAATTTTTGCTAAACCAAAAAGAGATTTATCGTAAGATCCCTGTTCATTTATTATCACTACTTTAATTTACGTCAGAAACAAGAAAATAATCTTGGAAATTATATTTAAATACAGAAATATTTTTCAATAAGACAACTTTTGTAACAGATTTGCAAAATATATCGAAAATAATCTTATTTCAGGGAGAAATTAAACCTTATTTATTTCTATATTAATATATTTATAATATATTTATAATTTTGTTACGCATAATTTATTTGCACATATATGATTATTAATAAATTAATGAAGCAAAAGGAGAGTTTCGGTATATTTTATAAATGCATCCACTGCAAATGTTATTTTAAAACATTTCCATATTAATATATTTTGCAAAATTTATATTATGTATTTTCTCGCTTTGACATCACAATCGGAGATAACAATGAACAGGAGCTTTGATAAATATTTAATTTAATTTATTTCTATATACTGTTTATTGCATGTATTCTGTTTGCTTTTGTGTGATTTCTGTAAACTGATGACTTGTAGACGGCAAAACTGGTGCTGGATGAACATTTTTTGGGCGATTCTGAGAACTTTACTAGTGGGATAGAATACTTCAATTACGAGGACGAGCCCATCTTTACCGTAACTACCCCCACTTCCAACTTTTCCCGCACGCCGTTATCGCCGTTGGACAATATGAACGCTCCTGTTTCTCTAGGTCGAGAGTTAAGTGTGGAAAGCGCCGCAACCTCCTCGGAGAGCGAAGAAACCTACAAGTCTCGTCCGATTCCTGAGGAACTAGGCTCGACTCAACAAGGTATTTAAATATGATACCGTAAAGTAACACCATTATATTAAACATTAAAATATAATCATGGATAATTTATCGCAATGAAAAAACTCTAGAAAATTTCGTTTATATTATTTATATGTTATTCTTAGTTTTATGGAAATGAAATTGATCAAATTTGTTTTCGAACAAACTTGGCCATATAATATAAATTAATTATAATAAATTAATAAATTTTAATTAAAAAAATAAAATTAAAATAAAGGACTCTTATTAATAAACAATAACATCAAGAAAATAGAAGTGTATATAAGAGTCAAATTTAAACAATTGTATATAATGTGAAACCGTTTAATATCTATACATTCTTAATTAATATAAGCTATTTGATAATATTACATTGCATGACATGTTTCGACATCATGATTATGCCATCTTCAGATATTCAAAAAAATGCAGTAAAAAACAATAAAAAAAGTCAAATGAATTATAACTAGTCGCTAATACCATCCATAACGTGAAACATGTTACGTAATGTAATATTATCAAATATCTTATAGTAATCAATTAAGAATATAGATTTTAAATAACACATTTTTTTAAACACATTATATACATCAATCATTTAAATTTGACTCTTATATATCCTTCTATTTTCTTGATACTATTTTTAATCGCCTTCTAATTCTGTCCGTTCTATTTACTTAGTTCCAGAAGCGAGAGAACTTACGTACGAGTTTCTGCTGCTGTGCGCGGCGGGCCCATATGCAAAGCGGCCCCCCGCCGATTGGGCGCGTATACAGAAGGAATGTCCCAATATAGTTCGTAAGGTACCGCTGTGCGACAGGAACGCCAATCATATACCGTGCAAAACCTTCCGCGTTACTCTTCCCTGCAACGCCGCAGTTTAATATTCTTGTATACAACACGCATCATAATAATTCACTACATATACATTAACGTTTCACCGAGAGAAAAGTCTGCGTTCCCGAGGATGTGGTGTGTCACGAGTGTGATTATTGCGGTATTAACCGCATGCATTCAGGCGGGAGAGGAATGAAGAATAAGATCTGGCTCCATTTAACAAATAATCACAGTTAGGTCTCTATTTTTGCCTTTTTTAAAAGAGAAGGAAAACACTTTTTAGGAAGAAAGTAGGCAGAGACTGAACTGTTTTAATAATTAGTTAAAGCGAGAGTTTAATGGAGATTATCATGGAATCTTAATGATTTCGCGAATTAAAAGACTTTAGAAGTTCCTTCACAATATGTGTGATTAGATATTAAATCTTTTGCAATAATAGAGGAGACGACAATTTCTAAAAGTT